TTATGAAGAATAAATTGTTCTTGAAACGTCATCAGTAATTACTAGTGTATAACACTGTGAGACTTTATCAAATAAATTTTACCCATAATGGAACGAAATGGAGGCATGTTTGTGTCATTTCCGCTTTCAATACATCTTATAGAATGCACATTGAGAGGCGACGCGAGGTAGTGTTCTTGAACACTTTCTGGCGAACGAGTAATATTATTGGCTTCACACGAACAGGCAAACTGGTATATACAAACGGAATTGGTGAGATTCGATATGCACAGAAATGGTCAGATACGTGATATTCTATTTGTTGCTTCTCTAAAACACTGGACAATTTCTCGTTCAACTGGTAGTCAACTGTAGAAACATTTTAGTTGAGTCCTCCACGCGGGTTTCCTATGGACTGACCTACTTGAGATTTCGTGATGTCTCCTTGTTATTTCCTCATCGAGAAAGGGGATTTTGGATTGATTTTTCATTTCAAGTGTGACTTTTGTTGTTAATTACCTACAGCAATTGACTTGGGTCGTAACTGTTGTCGCAAATGATGAAAATCTCATCTGCTTACCTTGTATGCAGTTGCAAACTGTCAATGGTAGAATTTAATAGACAGTTCTCGAGAAGAGCCATGAATCTGCCTGCTAGTAATGGATGGAAACGAGATCCCATTGCAACACCATTCTTTTGTTTGCAGATGGTATCATCTAAGTGAATTGTGCATTGAGAGGACGCCTCAACAGCAGTCTTTCCAAAATTGTTGTTGGTCTGAGAACGTTGAACTCGTTGTTATCTCTATATTGACTGGAAACCCGGTATGAACCAGTTTGCGATATATTTGAGACAATCTTACTTAATTACATTCAGAGTCTATTTCTCCATTCACAAATCTCTCCTACTTTACTAGGTCCGTACTATTCTAGCAAGTTCGGCGCCCGGCAATACAGGCAAGGTTGGCCGTCGGACGAGCGAATCTACCACATAAAATCAATCCAATCGGTACAAAAGCTTCAAAGCACAATAGAAATATAAAATACAAAATCATTCTTCGCTGGAATGAGTCGGAGAGACGAGATGACACCGACTGATGAAAGACTTCGGGAAGCAAGTCAGCCGATCTGTCTTCTTTCCACGTAGGCAGAAATAAGCCTGAGTATGTGGAATGTTCGCGCAATCTACGAAGCTGGGAAGGCTGACAATGTTGGCAAAGAAATGCGAAGACCTAACATGGAAGTTCTGGGAATCTGAGAGATCAGGTGGAATGGGTGTGAACTGTCCAAGTTGTTGACAGAGAGTCAGCTACCCACTCCGCTCACCCAGACGACGACCACGAGCACACTGAGACAGCAAGTGGCTATCACGACGTCAATAACATCAGTCAAAGCTCTCTTGCAATGGGAACCAACCTCCTCCCATGAGATAATGACAACAAGCTTCAACTAAAAGGAAGGAAGGAAATGATGTTACAATTATCCAGTTATGCGCGCCCACAAACAACTCAGAACAAGGGAAGAGGAAGAAGAGGAGAGAATATTTCTTCAGTCAACTGCAAAGGGCAATGGACATCCCCCCAAATCGTGACATCAAATCATCCTAAATGGCAAGATGGGCGCCAGCTGAACTGGGAGAAAACAACACAAGAAGGGAATTCATCACGGGTCGAGTGGCTCTCACACTCATCACCGAAATCAGTGAGAACGGAGAACTCTTCGCAGACTTCTTCTCCTTCGATGATTTAGTGACTCGAAGCAGCGTGCACAAGGACATGCAAATGCACAAGGCGACATGGATTTCACTCAACAGACACACCAAAACCAGATGGACGTCACACCAATCTCAGGAAGTGTAGAGGCAGTCTCCTGGACACGAAGTTGAGGAGGGCACCAGATGTAGGCGTAGACCATAACCTAGTTGAATGAACCTTCAAGGGGAAACTGGAAGCCTGCGAGACAACTGGCGATAGACCACCATCCAATTTCAACACTCAGAAACTGGAGGACGAATCTACAAAAGACACATTGACTGCAGCCATCGAAGCAAAGTAAGAGATACTGCATAGCATCACCGAGGAAACCTGTGTAGAAGAACATCGGAACTAACTCTCTGAAGGTGATGTTCAGGGAAGCGTGCAGACTGGTGTTAAGAAAAAGGAAGAGGCCAGACAAGGAATGGCTCTCAACGGACACTCGGAATTAACAAAAAAGGTGGTGAACGAGAAGATGAATGAGTGCAAAGATGGACAAGGGGAGGAGAAGCTGACTTCAGAGTACATTGCACTGAATAAAGAAGTGAAGAAGAGTGCAAGAGACGAAAAAAGAGACAGTTCCACAACACACTGGCTGGCAGGTGAAGCAGAACACTCAGACCACATGTAAAAGAGACCTCGGAACATCACGTCAGATAAGCGGGTTTCTATGTGGGAAGGGATCACCGCAGATGGAACCAATAAAAGATGGTGAAGGGAATCTAGTTACCAAGGAAGAGGAAGCAGGCAAACAATGGGCTGATCACTTCGGTGGACTCTTGGACCGACCATCATCACCTGCGACTCGTTCACACAAACCACCGCCAAAAGTACGCACAAAACTGCCAGTGGACAACAACCCTCCGACAGAAGCAGACATCTCTAAGGCAATCAAGCCACTGGAGGCCAGATGGGAAGGCAGAGTGATCAGATGGAATTCCTACAGGAAGCACTGAAAATGCATGCAGAGAGCGCAGCGCATATGCTCACGCCACTATCGCAAAACGTCCTGGGGGAGGGAAATGCACCTGCTGACTGTAACAAAGGCTAGCTTGTCAAACCACCAAAGAAGGACGACTTAGGCTTCTGTGAGAACTGGCACAGAGTCATTCTCCTGTCCACGCCAAGCGCCATACTAAGTCGTGTCATCCCGGAGAGAATGAAAGATGCACTGGATGCAGAATACAGAAGTGAGACAAGGCTGCCTACTCTCACCCATGATGATTTTCCTAATTGTGGTCGACTGGACCACGTGGGCGTCTGTGAGGAGCGAGAAGACAGGAATGCATTGGACCAATCAGGAGACTGTAGAATACCTGAGTTTCACGGATGATTTATGTCTAGTGTCACACGAACTGTAAGACTCACAGGCGAAAACCAACAGATTGGCGAAGCAGAACAAGCAGCAAGATACGACTTCAAGTGAACATGGAGAGGACGGAGGTGATGAAAATAACCGACCAAAATAACCATCATCAACACCGTCCCCAACACGACCACCATCACCAACACCAATAACAAGCACAAATCACTATCAGTTGAATGAATTTGAAAGAGGTCACTCAATTCACGTATTTAACTACGCAGCAGAGTTTCGAGCACACGCACTCAGAACAAAGGAGGATGTGAAAACCAGAATCGGAAATGCAAGACGCACCTTCATCACTCTGAAATCAGTTTGGAAATCTTCTGCACTCCGCTTCAGTATCAACAACAAAATTCGAATTTTCAACCAACACCAATGTTAAGTCCGTCGGTGCTTCTATATGGGCTAGAAACATGGCTCACGCGTAACGAAAGTCACTTCCAACAGGCCAATGTAGACTCCCGTCGTCACCTGCGTTCGCTCGCTTCATAATGAAGTTCGAATATCCAGGAGAAATTAGCGACAAGAAACTCTACTTGTATATCGTGAAATTAACTAGCTTTACATGCGATTTCTTACCTACATGCAGGTACATACAGGTTCGCACACAATGAAACTATACAATGATACCAATGAGTGCTTCTTTCTGATTATTTGAGAACATCTATTTCTCGTAGTAATCTTAAAGCAAGAAACCGTTGTGAAAAGTGTAGTATTTAATGACTTCATAAATCTCAACAGGACTCGTCAACTGAATGCGCTACAAGTATGACTATTTGTATTGAGTATATTCGGAAATGGAAAATCATGTTTGAGTACTAATTTTGACGAGGAGTGTTGAAACTGACGTCAATTATAATTATATGTCAATAGTTTACACACAATGATAAGTTTTTGTTTTCGGTAATTCATTTGATCTATTCCACAGTGCTCACACATCCTGCTGACATTTATATGTAAATAGTAGAGTATTTGTAGAGTATTCATCACGTGATGCACCCTACCTGATTTTGTCAATTCATTGAATACCACTCTCTCCACAATTGTCGCTTGTCTCCAATTATTTCTTACTTCATTGGAAAATGAAGGCAAACTATTTTTATCAGTGACCTGTTCTCTCCACACATTCGAAGGTCACTCTCATGACAATCATTGGTTCCATCTGATTTCTCAGGTTTACGAATGATTTGAGCCATCGTAAACTGAAGTCTGTCTGATTGGCTGTTGTGGGCTGCAGGTTGATTGGCTCACAATTTCGTTATATAAAACTCACGTTAATTCACATAAATTGAAATCAAAATTCTACCTGGCTCCACAAACAAAATGATTCTCAAAAAGAAATCATTGGGAAGTCGTATTTTGATTGGTAAAATAATCCTACTCACACTTTACACCATTCTAATTGTTCATACACATTTCGAATATTTCCATTCAAAAGAGATTGTTTATAATTACACACGTGAGATATTGATAACTGGAGATACGCAACAAAGTGAAAGTATCGAAAATTGCCGTACAGTTTGCGAAAACATTCAGAGTGTTCCTAGGCATAGAATAGATGAGTTCAAGCAAAGTGGAGCGATAACAGTGAATGCAAATTTAACCGATGCTGAAATCATGATGAATGATACCTTCTCACCACATCTAATCGGTGGCTCATGGATGTTTAAAGAGGAGAACGATGATTTAGAATCAAACTGTGATGATGTCCCGAAATCCGGTGTGGCGATTATCTTTGTCTGCAAAAACAGATGGAAGCAACTGAGTATAACACTGTCCACACTAATTCCAATCCTTCAGAAGCAGCGTCTATGTTATCGAATATTTGTTGTTGAACAGGAGGCTGACGGCCTTTTAAACAAGGCTATGCTTCTGAACATTGGATTTTTGGAAGCGAAGAAACGTTTCGACTTCGCCTGTGTGGTATTCCATGACGCCGACTTAGCACCATTGGATGACAGAATCCCATACGGATGTGATGAACAGACAATGAAGACAGTTGTACATTTGAGTGTCGGTGTGAGTTCATGGAATTATTCACTTCCCTACAAAACACTGATTGGAGGTGTCTTGAAAATCTCAACTGAACATTTCTTAGCAGCTAACGGTTATTCAAATAGTTATTGGGGATGGGGTGCAGAGGATGATGATTTGGAGAGACGTTTAAATGCTACAAATATAGAATACATTCACATAAATGAGAGTATTGCGCGGTATATGGCTTTACCACATCCTAAACAAACTCGTTCCAGATCCAAACTGCGCTATAGTCTGTTGGACAAAGCATCTGAACGTATGCATACAGATGGTTTAAACACTTTGAAGTATAAAATTATCACAACTTCCGAACGAAGATACTACACTTATTTCTTAGTCTCATTTCATCGACCGTTTTAACTCTCTGCGCCCCTTCCCCACCTAAATAAGTAAATCTACCATATTATATATTCACCACTTATTTTTCACGTGTTGCATGAGATTTTAGTGGCTTATATTAATTACGTGATAAATATGTGAACACTGATGAAATACACCCAGATGTACCTACACAAACTCGCTCACACACAGAAAGAAACCTCACTTAGACAGAAGTTAGAATGTGATCCATCTGCACGATTCAGCAATGTCTAATCAGATCATATCATTCACTCTGAAGTGCTTCCCTCCATTCAAATAACTCAAATTGAACGCCGACTGTCATACAGTAGTCTTCTGGAGAATACATTGTCCAACGAATTTATTGACTGTGAACAGAACATGTATGTGATTGAATTCTCCTTCCATCTCATAATTTTTGCCTTGATAACTGTCTCAAATCTTATCGTCTCTGTACATCCATCATACTTATAGTCCTATTGTTGTTGAGAGCCGAGTTCTCACAGATTTATTCCTCGGAGATTATTGACTTTCCAAGTAATATATATGCATGACAGAAAGGGCGCATCTCTTGAAGTGTGTGAGTATTCACTCTTGACTAGGTGTCATCAATTTCAGTGTTTATTTTGTACATTATTCACATTTGCATCATCCCTCTTCATTTTTCAACCATCGTCTCTTCAATACGACTGGATTTCTCTCGCCTTCAGATGAAAACGTTTCAGCAGGGTGAATTCTTGTTTGTCGATATGTACTTCTCTTCTCCTCGATTGATGTGAAATATTAGTGGATTTTGTAAGCACAAAGATTGCACACTCCTCATATCTGCTAAGAGAATACTGTAGAGATCATCCCTATCCTTGTTATTATTATTTATTATTATCCTTGTTATTATTCGTCAATTATTTTTATGCCATTTTTCATTCCCAATTTCCCTGATGTTATTTCATAAACCAGAATTGTGAGTGTTTGCGTCATTTGTCTACTCCACCAAGTAACAAGTTGATTTCGAAAATAAATGTCTTTCGGTGTTGATTCGTTCTAGTTCTCGATGTGTTTGTGCAGTGCATGATGTGAATTGAGTGAGGTGGAGCTGTGAAATGCATTCGCGTTCAACTGTTTTGTGCACCTCACTATTCGTTGTATCTTGATGTACAGAGTGGGAATACACTCATACTGCGAGTGTAAATTAATTATGTGGCGTTGTATTGGAATAAGTGTGACAATGTCAATACCAGGAGCTTCAACCATTGTTTCGAGGGGGATTCGAGATTACGTTTCTTAGTAATGTGTTTCCTAATATTCGTGGGGAATGAGGCATATGAAATACGTGGATTGTGAAATGATGAATGAATGAAGAAAACGGAAGAAGAATAAAAGGCGTTTAGAATCGAGGAGTATGTAGAACTTTCTATCGGTGAATGTTCTAACACGGATGGACACTACACAGAGAACCACTGAATGTCATTCGACATTGTGGATATATTTCACACTAGATTAGGAATGTAGTAATACATAGTCATGGTGTATGCGAGTTAGAAATGATGGTAGTTAGGTGTCTCAAATAATGTTTACTAGTAGTTAGGAAGTAGGAGAAAGACAACGTTCAGTGTCTGCTTATTTTCACTCAGTCTGTGAGTGATGTTTAATAATAATTTGCTTTATTCCAAAACAGTACTTGTGATACAGAATGAATTCTCAGCATTTTTACTACAGTATTGCATCCAGTTTGTACATTATCAATAAGTAGAATTCTACATAGATTAAGGAAATCTCAGTTCATTATGACAACAACATATTGGCGTGTTGGTAGGAAAGCCAAAGTTGAACAGTGTTTGAAGGTGTTAGAAAAGTAGACGCTAGCATATTTACTGGCGTAAGCGAGAGAAACAAAGCAGCACATAACGGAAAAAAGAGAGAAAGAGAGAGAGAAAAGGAAAAGAAAGAAAGAAAATGTTTTTCCTATAAATGATATGAGTTGGAAAGACGAGGTCCAGTTGTTCTACTGACTATTTAATGAATTATAGGTGTCACGCCTAATGCTTTCTTTATCGCACAGAACACGAGCTAAGTAGGGTATGGTTGAGTTTTTGTACTTGCTGGTGCGAGCATATAGTTTTCTATATAGGCTTCTGGTTTTGCCTGATGAGATGCAAGGGGAGAGTTGTGAGTGAAGAGGGTGGCGTGAGTTAGATAAAATGGATTTGGCCCATTTTTCACATGAGTCCATGTGCCTGTCAACCAGAATATTAACAAGCTGGTTAAGTGGCACGTTGCTTACCCTGCTGACAACCTTTAACATCCTGCGTAATATGTTATAGTCTTTCTTCAGTAGCCCGGGAAAAACTAAGGGGGAACAATAGAGAATAATAGGCAGAATGCGAGAGTTAATGAATTGTAGGAGTAGGGGTTGGGTTATACCAGAATGTTTTAACTTCTTGATGTAGAAGGTAAGACGGAATATTTTCTTGGAAATCGCCAAGATATGAGACGACCAGGAAAGATCAGCACATAGAATGATGCCTAGATATTTGATTTCCGACTTGGTTTCTATTTCAGTGCCATCTATGTTGCACACCTCGTGAGAGCCAACCAGTTTGTTTAGGTCGGATTTATGCCTAAAGGTGAAATTGACTGTTTGGCATTTGAAGGGATTTAAGGTAAGACCGTTTTCCTTGGACCACTGGCTGATTTCTGACAGAAAGCCATTTAGTTTAGAGCAGTCACTTTGACATTTGACAGGCAGAGATACAGTCAGGTCGTCAGTATATTTGACAAAATTTATGTCATTTGAAGATGGTAAGTCATGTAGAAAGAAAGAAAAGAGAAGTGGGGAGAGTACAGCACCTTGGGGGACACCAGCTTCAGTGAGCGCAGCAGAGGAGGATTTACCTTTGTATACGGTGCACTGCATTCTGTTGGAGAAGTAGGAATGCAACCAGTTAGTGACCCAGGACTCAGTTTGTGTCATAGAGAGCTTATTTAGCAAGAGACATCTAGGTACAGAGTCGAAAGCAGAAGTGAAGTCGAGAAACGTGCAGCGGACGTATTTGGCACCTTTATCTAATGATGAGACGATACTGTTGTGTAAGACGGCTGCAGCGTCTAAAGTGCTCCTACCCTGTCTATAGGCAAATAGTTTGGGGTCTTCAAAGCTTTTAAGGGAGCGTTCAAGTTTGAGAAGTACTAGTTTTTCCATAAGCTTTAGAAACGGGGAAGTGATGGCAATGGGTCTGAACTTTACGTTCCTGCTATTTCCAGGTTTAGGGACAGGGACTATTTTAATGTCTTTCCATGCAACAGGTACGAAATTTTTGGAGAAAGAAGCATTTAGGATGTTAGTTAGTGGAGAACATAAAGCATCTGCACATTGTTTTAGAACATGTGCAGGTATACCATCAGGGCCAAGGCTACGTGAGGGCTTGAGCGTTTTAAGACATTTTAGAACATCGAGAGCATTAAAGTCATGAAAGTTATCAGCTACATGATTGGTAACATTAGAAGTAGTTATAATAGAAGGACAGAATATAAAAGACTGATTAAGAGCATTAACATCATAAGAGGGCAAGACATTACAACGCTTACTACTGCCAGTAATTTCATTAAAATGTTTCCACATGCTGATAGGAGATTTGCATGATAAGAGTGTATCGTTATAGATAGCATTAAGATTTTTGATTTCAGATTTGATTTGAGCATCAATCTTTTTGAGTCCTAACTTATCTTTGGATTTATATAATGTTTCTTTTTGCCTGCGAAGTTGTTTGAGACAAGGAGACGAGAAGCGGTCGAGGCGTTTGAATAGTGTTTGTTTGGGTCAGCATATATCAAGGCAGAACTTAAAATAACCCGTTATATTGGCGATTGTGTCATCTAATGTACTTTCATGGAATAAATCCCAGTTAGTATTTTTTTAACATGCACCTTAGATTGAGTAAGTTGTCAGATGAGTAGCATCTTTGTTGTGCTTTCATAGACAAGTGTGAGAAGACTTTAATATGTGTTTTGCTGTATATTTTTGGTAAAACACGAACAACACAGTGATCAGAGTTAAGGATCGGTGCACGTTTACGTGTTTCATATACTCCTTCGTCATTAGTAAAAGCTAAGTCGAGTGTTTTGTCAAGTCGAGTGGGAAATTTGACTATGTTAGTGTGACCAAGTGCTTCAAGGAAGGAGCAGTCTGAGGAGTTGAAATCGCCAGTAATAACAGATAGAGAGTTGTCGAAGTTGGCAGCAGCAAACATGGTGAATTCGTCAGCAAAATTTGAAAGATCAGATAGTGAGCAACTGGGAGAAATGTACATGTTTGTAACAAAGATATGTTTATATTTGGGGAGATGTTTGGGACGACATTTGACGGTAATACAGTCTATGAAGTCATTTGAGAATGAGAAGCAAACATTATTAGAAATAGACCATTTGGAGTGAATAAAAGTTGCAACGCCGCCCCCATTTTTCTTATTACAACATTGTCGGTCTTGTCTAAATAGGATGAAATCCTTTAGTGAGATGAGATTGTCATCATACAGTTCATGTAACCACGTTTCTTGTAATGTGATTATGGCAGTATTATGATAAGTGTCAGTGGACATCAAAGATTGTAGGTACATTATCTTGTTAGGAAGAGAGCGGCAGTTAGTGTTCATTATGACAGGGATAATTAACACCAGTTTTCTTCTCAGATAACCACTGCTGAAAACATCTCGCATCTCAACATTTCTGTGTGGATGTACCAGTTGACCTGTTGCCGTGATGCCAGACACATTGGTACTTCGACGCATATCCTGCTGGAAAGTGTTCAAGAACCCTATACTTCATGGTAGAAGAACGGAAATAGTGGCTCTATAATTAGTGTGACAGTCGAACCCCTTGTCAAAACTAGTCATTCCACCTGCAGGCTTATCCTGTTCAAAGTAATCTACAAAGTGAAGAATAACATGTCAAAGACAATCCGTGATCGCCTGCTCCCCTCCTTTGCAGTGCTGAGGCCTTAGTCAATTAGTTAGCGAACTCGGAAC